TTACAACCTATTCTAGCTTCGCCGAGCATGGTACGTCGAGGTAGGCGGTGACTAGGCATGTGCAATACATATTCAATCCATCTCAGTCGACTAAAGTTCATAATCTCATCAACCAACTTGCCTGGTACCGTTCGCCTGTTCACACAGTGGTTCTACCAAACGCGAGCGATGATATGAACATAACTATGATCAAAACCATGTAATCTCCTCAATTTTTAACGGCCATGGTTCACAACCGTATAACAGGACAGAATGGAATGCAGAGCAGTATACTCATCCTTTGATGGATATCTCGCCAGCCAGGGTCACAAGTTGGTAAGTGCGAAACGGGTCAACGACTAGATGACCTAGAACTAAGAAGACCAAACGCACTTATTGCACGGTTACTTTACGCTCACTGATACTGACAACGGGATAACATGTTGCTTCTCAGTCAATATCTGTTTAGCTGTATACAGATTCTCGTAAAAATGGATCCATCCTTAGGATCAACAGTGTAGAAAAATATAAACCACAACTGGATAGAATTATTCAGATTTCCAAGCGGAGAATATTCGTAGCTCAGGTGGATGGTCTTGGGTGTATTGTGTTCGCTGAGCTGGGTTATTTTTAGACGACATCATCAGCACTTTATACTGAGGTTAGTGCTCAGCTCAGAGAACACAATACAACCAAGATTTCCAAGGTTAATACATATCTCCAAAGCAGTTCTTCACCCCCACCAAGTGCACTGTCGCACAAAAACGATTCCACTAGACCGGTTCACTGAAATTCAACTCACATTAAGCCCACTTCGAATTTCTTGCCTACTTAGATATATTTTGAAAACAGTCAGCAGTATAACTCTGAAAGGAGAGCAGAAAAGGCAAAATTTACTATTCGAAAGCACCATTTTCAGTCAAACCGAAACGTGAAATCAGTCAAAGACGTCTCTGACTGCTGATTTGAAGTTTGTAGGGAAATGTAACTTACCGGTTGAAGTAATCATGAATACCGAAATCAATGTTTGGAGACTCTAGGTGATAGATACCATTTGTGCAGATGCTTCTACACATCATTTTTGTCTTAATCGTTACATTATACTTCTTTAAATGCTATGCCTCCCTTTCGTACAACTTTTGATTAACTTCGCCTTCCCATTTTCTATAAGTCTAATTTCCCTACTTTGTATCTTCATGTGAAAAAATGCAACTTATACCATTAAGCAGTAATTCCACTTCTTATGTCAATGTGAACTGAGTAACTTATTGCCTAATGTCTAAAATTCAAGCTTTGAAAAACCTATGAACACAGTAGAAAGTAGACCAGAACATCTTCACTTTCATCTGCTGTCTATTAAAATATGTCAAGTCAGCGATAGTATATGGCGCATTCCAAAAAAAATGAACCATACCTATACCGTGTATACTTGGTTATTCTGTTCGCTTTACGAATTATTTTAGGCATATTGTAGGAAACTGGGTCACTACATTTGGCATTTGTGGTCAACGGGAATTCTTAAATTCCACTGTTGACATATGCAGCACTCTTAGTTCATAAAAGATAAATAAACCTTGCCATCCAGGGTGACGTTTTGAGATATTGCTACTGTTCTATTTAACCGGCAATTGACTATATTTAGAATAAGTTTATAGACACTAAGCAGACGCTGATCAAGACTATACCTAATTTTTCTGAGTATTAACTGAAGTTTATCGACCGAGGGAAACAATTCAGGCATAACATAGAAAAGAACAAGTGTTATAATGTGCAGAAAATCTTCATAAATAGTCGTAAATCGTCAAAGACTTTTTAAACCGATCTCTATGCTTCGAAGTTTCAGAAGAAAACACGTGAACTAACGTGTAAGTATCAAGTTGGTTGAAGAGAAGAAAAAAAGAATTTAAATCTAGTAGACTTGGGTCATTGTAATATATATATATATAAATCTTATATTTTGTATATATTTTGGAAGTTGCAGTTGTAAATACACTCTTTGTTATATTACCGCCTTTGCTATTTACGGAGGAACCGAAAGGAACCTGAAGGTTATTGTACAATTATCCTCAAAGGAAGCAGTCTGCACACCCTATACAGTTTAGGCTTTATCAAGTCACTATGAAGATATACAAAAAAGTGGCGACTCAAGTTATAAAAGTGGCAATGAGTAAAAATATGGCAACTCTTCCTGATGAAGAATTTCAAGCTTTTATGCAGCGCTATAATGTAAGACTAGAAGCGGCATCATTGAGGATTATTAAGAAATCCAAGCAAATATTGGATTACATTCAGGCAGAATCTACATTCATGAATCCTTAGATTTTGAAAAAGACTTTAAGTAAATACTTCAGTGATGGACATAGTGAAGCTGGAAATGACTTCAAAAAGCATTCGACCTAGGTTTCTTGCTTGTTAGCACTTGTCAGCAAGGCATATCTGCAACGTCAATGGAGGTGTTGCCTCGTCCACGGTTTGAACCCGCACCACCCGTGTTATAGTCAGCAACGTTACCACTGATCTATTCGAGGCTCAGCATCGCAATGCACTCGGTCTACACTAAGGACTAGATAATATGATATTGGTTGCTCTCCCGTGACTAATCTACACATGTAACCCGATCCTACAGGAGGTCAACCTTCGTCCGAATAGCTCAGTGGTAAGGTCACTCACTACAACACTGGGTGACGCGGGGTCGAACCTCAGGTGGGACATAGGCTCTGTTGAAGTTGCAAGTAAGCCTTGCTGACGAGTGTCAACAATCACGCAACCTAGATCCAGGGCTTCCTGCCGATTGCCTTCAAGCAACTAACATCTAGTTGTACTCCCGTGACCAATCTATACAGCTTGATACCATGGATCATGTTACGTCGATGGATGAAAACGATGTTAACTCCTCCATAACCCACCACGAAATAGTAAGCGGTGCAGACATTCAGTCAGATCATGCTGATGACAACCATGAAGTACCTGTCGAGAGTTTGTTAAGTGATGTAACATGTTGAGTGCGATCCAGCCTTTCTACAACTACAGAAAATGCTTTTGTAAATACTCGTCAGTCTAAAGCAATTGGTCCCTTTGATAAATTTAAACAGCATAATGAGAAGAAGAAGATTATCTGAAACGTATGATGTATTAGCGCTATACATTTCGAACAATCTGACCACATACACACTTGTCGAACTATTTATATAAAAGTTTAGGGAAAGGGTCAATAAAGTTAGTAGGAAACACAGGAATAGGAAGGGCAGAGAAAAAAAATCTTGATTACGCTACTCTTGGTATGAAAATTAAAATCAATACTATCAAGGTAGGTTCAACGTGAGTACAAATTGTTTTCGTATACATAAAGCAGAGGGTTTGAACTTACGGATGGCAACAGCTTCAATAAATTTAAGCACTCGGCTCTGACAACTTTTATGTAGTACTTTAAAGGATGTTTTCATGTCTATCCTATGGTTAGTTTCTAGGATATGTTTAGCGATAGACGAAGATGGATGTTTATCACCTGGACTTATCGGATCTGTTGAGATCATTTGTTTTGAAAGCTACTTAGGTACATGTTTAACCTTCCCTAACTGCAAATCACGATTACTCATCCCTATGTACGTGTATTCACACATACATAAAAGTTGATAAACATAGTGGGATGTGATGTAATCGTTTATATGTTTAGTTTGTGTTGTAACATGGATTTTGTCTTCTCTACAGTGATGACCTTGGGTGCATTATATATTTTACACATGGCTGATCTAATTCTTTTCCTCACAACAAAGCTATGTGAATTATCTCTAAATGGTAATGAGATGTAGACATTATTCTGAACAACGACATACCGTCTACTTTTCAAATTTAATATAACTTTTGCAACTATCGATAAATTTCAACGATTAACCATTCTGTATAAGTATTGTCATCAGTAAGTTGGTTTTTTCCTCCATGGTGTCATCAGTGCAGATGCGGCTTATCCTATTGAATAAGCATCTAACTAAACAGCGTTTACAGTGAACTGAGTAACAGCTATGGAAATCATGATATTGCCCTGTTCATGTGCGTTTTCTATAGATCCTATTTTTCCTATTAACTTTATTGATCTTTCTCGTAAATTTTCATATAAATAGTTCGAAAAGTCCATGTATGTGATCAGATTGTTCCAAATGTACAGCGCTAATACATCACAACATTTTTCAGGTAATCTTTGTCTGTTTTTTTTTTTAACCGGAGAGGAAAAGCTTCTTCAAAGTGTCAGCAAATTATTCCCGTCATTTCCAACTGGAATTCAGTCACCTCAAGTTATCCCACAGTATATATACATCAGAAGACTATTCAGGAATAATTCGTCAAGAGCCAGCGAAACGTCATTATACTATCAATCTCTATTTCAAGGAGGAGGTGTTAGATTGTAAAGAAAGCTTGAAAAAGACATAAAAAAGTGGCGACTGAAATATATAAGAACAAAACATAAGCAATAAACAATTTTCAGCCTCCAGTCTTGGCATTACTCGACATCGAACAGACGATTGACATTCACCTAGTATGCGGCATGAAGTTACCATTTCGTCTAAAACATAACTCTTATTATTATTTTTTCCGTGGGTTCCTAGCGGAATATAGGGCTTCAGTAGCACGACCCCATTGCACTCTCTTCTCTGCAGCCTTTTCAACCTGGCACCACGACTGCCATACAAGCTTTCATTTCTTCTTCACATGATCTCCTCCATGTCACCCTCGTACTCCCAACTTGTCGTCTCCCCCTTTGGGTTCCATTCGAGGGCCTGGCCCGTGATGTCTACAATCATTAAATGCAAATTAGTACGCACATAGAGGCTAGCGCGGTACACCTCCACACACACAGAAGTGGAGAGAAAAAGTGGCCTTAATTTGAACCTATAACCCACTGCGGTTCACAGAGTGAAGTGCATTAGCCACCACTCTTAAGTTTAATCCAACCAGTGGAGCAGTCTACGAAACCATGACCTAAATTACATCTTTATAAAAAGACATTAGGTAAAACTATACTCCATGAAGAAGAAAGAGAAATCAATTCTAATGTATTATCTTTTTAAAACTATAGCAGAATATGTACAATAAACAATGAGGAAAGATTGATAGTAGTGAAAAAGTGAAGTTGGTAACAAACTTGCGCCATCCCCCCTCAATTGATAATCCATAAGGTTAAAATAGATAATCATTGGTACTGGATATACTATCGAATTGAAAGATTTAATTTCTCAGCAAGAATTTGACCAATACTTTCATGCAATGGTCGTACCTCATCCATTGTTAACGTTTTATGCTGATCTCGATAGACAAAACGATAACAAAGACTCTGTCGACCAATCTTTGCATCAGTGTATGAGTCGACTAAACGAATCTGAATGAGTTGGAGGCAAAAAACAATAAGGATAATCATGACAGTTATTGTGTAACAATCAAAGATCAAATTCATTGCTAGTGAACGTGGCAAAAAAATATTTCGAATAAGAAATTTTCATCTTCATTAGAATTTATCACAATGAAATTACCCACTCAAAACGTTAGTTAACTCTAACTCATGAGCAGAAATTGGATATTATTATTATTTATCTCTTGGGTTCCTGGTGGAACAAAGGGCTTCACTAGCACGTCTCCATTACACTCTCTTCTCTCCAGTCTTTTCAATCTGGCTCTACCACTACCCACAAGCTCTCATTTCCACCTCACACGATCTCCTCAATGTCATCCACATTTCCAACGCCCAACCCGTCGCTTCCCATCTGCGTTCCACTCGAGAAACTCGCCTGACGCCTCATGTCCACAGTCGGACTTCTCTGTGTATGCCAAATCCAATCCATCTACACTTCCACTTTATTCCACATATTTGTTGACCGATAGGTTCTTGGTTGGTTCATTACCAGCCAGAGCTCCTTCTTGCTTATTCTTATTATTCTGGTCATCTGATCTTCAGTAACGAGCCAGTGTAGGCATTGTTGATGAATGTCTGTAGTTTATTGGAAATCCCATCTCGCAACGCGCCAAGACTCTCAAACATACAGAAGCACTGACTTGACGTTGGTGTTGAAAATCCGCATCTTGTTCCACATGTTGAGTGTAGTGCAGTAGATCTCCACACTGGTTTCAGGCTAATGAACGCCTCTCTTGCTTTTCCGATTCTGACTTTGACATTCTCGTCTGTGCAGCCTGTAATTGAGACAGTGCTGCCTAGATAGGTGGAAGAGGTTATTTCCTTTATGTTTCTCCCGTTCATGGTGATTGGAGCTTCTTGTTGTTGTTGTTGGAATTGCTGTTGGTTGGGTATCTTCATCACCTCTATCTCTGTCTTCTCTATATTCACCTGAACTCCCGTCTTCGCTACCCTGACCTGCCTCTTTTGTCAACTTGTTAGTTTTCGCCTGTACATCTTCAAGTTTGTGCCACATCAGACACAAGTCATCGTTGGTGAAATCCAGATCTTCTAGGTTCTTTTCCCCTGTCCAGCTAGCGTATCCCCCTCTTCTCACCCCTCACTGTTGTCTGCTGCACGATCCAGTCGACCACAATCAGGAATATCATGTGGGATAGTAGGCAACCTTGTTTCACTCCTGTCCCCTGTCTTTACTTCAAAAGCATCACTGAGCTTCCCATTGTGAATTACTTGGCATGTGGAGTCTTCATACACTTGTTGAATGAGGTTGATAAAGGTTTGTGGAATTCCGTAGTATTGAAGCAACTGTCAAATTATCTCTCAGTCAACGCTATCAAAGGCCCTCTCAAAGTCGGTGAAGTTAAGGTAGAGAGTTGACTACCATTCTATACTCTGTTCTATGATGATGCGAAGCGTAGCGTTGCAATTTGATCCGCACATGATTTGTACTTCCTGAAACCAGCCTGCCTGTTTTGATCGCAGTTTGGAATCCAGTGCATCCTTTAGTCTCTCCAGGATGATGCGGATTAATATTTTGCTTGCTCCGGGTGGACAGGAGTGTGATTCCGCGCCACTTCTTGCAATCACTGAGGTCTCCCTTCTTCGGGAGTTTGACAATGTAACCCTTCTTCCAATCAGTTGGCAGGTACCTTCTCTTCCTTCCACACCTTCTGCAATAGTGGTGTGGTGGGAGCATGCAAGCTGATGTCTCTGCGTCTGTTCTCGGGGCTTCTGGTGGGATTCCATCTGGTCCTGTTACTTTCACGTATTTCAGTAGCTTTATGGCGTGGCGTTCAGGACTTCCACTTTTGTTGGAGGATTTATGTTCAATTGTAGTTCAGCGGCTGCAGGTAGTATTTCTGGATGAAGTGCAGGTGGTGGTCGATTCAAGAGCTTCTTGAAGTGGTCGGTCCATTGTTTCCTTTGTTTCTCTTCTTTGGAAGTTGAATTCCCTTCATCATCTTTAATTGGTTTCGTCTATGTTGATCTCTTCCCAGATAGCAACCTGGTTATTTGATACAATGTTGTCAGGTCTCTCCCACCTGCAGCCTGTTATGCTTCACTTGCCAGTGTCTCGCAGAAGTGTCTTTTGTCTTTCCGTGAACTCTTCACCACTTCTTTGTCCACTCTAGTGTTTTATACATTGTACTCAGTTCCTCTTCCCTTTGTGCATCCTTGCACTCCACTGCTTCATCTTCTGCTTCACCATCCTCCTCTCCTGCTCTATCAGCTTCCATGTATCCATCGAGATCCATTTCTTGTCCTGACTTCTTTCTTCTTCCTTCCTAATAAGGCTGTGCAGGTTTCTTTCCAGATCTCTTTCAAAGACTTCCAGTATTCTCCCACACAGGTTTCTTCGGAGATGCTGCTTGATATCTCCCATTTTGTCTTGATGACTAACGTGAAGATTTCCTTTGTAGTTTCGTCCTTCAGTTTCCGAGTGTTGTACTTGAACTGTGGTCTATCGCCAGATTCCTTGAAGGCTTTTAACTTGATTTTGAAGGCAGGCTCCTTGCAGTAGATAGTGAGTGGTCTGAACCTACATCTGCTCCTCTCCTTCACCTTGTGTCAAGTAGGCTGCGTCTCCACTTTCTCGAGAGTAGAATTTGGACATTATAGGAGAAAATTTATTACTTAAAATAGCACACAATGATATGAAATTATCTCCTAAATGAGGTTTTGAGTATTAATGCTCTCAGCAACATCGTGTACATTCTTGTATTAAGCAATGAGCTACACCTACTGTGTAAGCATTAATGATATATGGCTTGCCTGTCCGAACCATCTCAGTTGATGGTACGGTGTTCGAACTCGTTACTTGTCTGTTGGTTGAAAGTCAATTCCCTAAACCAGTGAGTTACACCTCCACTTTGATGGTAGTAAAGTTTCCCAAATGTCTGAAACCATGTTTACCAACCAAATTGGCCACCTAATTGTTTCACCAACATGACTGCAATCCACAAATCGGTTACTATCCTCCTTAATCTACAATGCAAATGACATTGTGTAGCTTGCAAAGTGGGATCAATAAAAGTTTGGAAAACTAATTTTAACTACTTATTTGTAGTATTAGTAGTAAGACGACTAATCCGTTTCAAACGGTGTTAGGCCACACACTGCAACATCCATCTAATTCTCAGGTTTCTAAAAAGCCATAAATCCATAAAAACAACCACAATCAGGAAGCTTTAAGGAAACCTCTCAAGTATATGCATATTTTTCTGCACATCTTGGGATGTTTCTCACCACACAAATGCGAACTGTTGCTGTAAAAGTGGTCTTCATTGATGCCTCATTTGACAATTGAGAGTGAAGTGGTTGAGCGTGCTAACCAATATACTTCCTTGCAAAGTTAGATCAGCACTGGTGACTTTTGGACCGAGAGTATCTCTCTATGGAAGCAAAAAAGGTTCACACAACGAAAGACTGACAAAATCAATTTGGAGCCTCGTACAGAAATGTATCGGTTCAAGTTGCCACACTTCACAGTAGAATCCAAGGGAAAAAAGGACAAAAAGAGACTGATATAAAAGTAGATAGTGGTGAATTCGAGGAGGAGTTTAAAAGTGAATATATCTGTGGTGCTGTGACCAGTCTGCCGACATTCCAACAAGAGCCTCCAACCACTGATCCTTATCGTCTCGGGGACCCCAGCCTACAGCTCTCTCTAAAGGGTTGAGACATCAATGATTAGTGCCAGGTTTTGGTCCGGCCACCCCCAACCCTCTTCCAACCTAATCCAACTTCTCCCCTAGCATGACGCGTCAACGTAGGCGGTGGTTCGGCAAGGGCAACACATGTCCAAGCCAACTCAACTGATGAACGTTGAAAACCTCATCAATGGACCAGCCCGCCTTGCCTAATGCCCTTTACCAGACCTCAATATTGCTCAATGATTCAACCAAACACGAGAAATGCTAGGAAGACACATATGAGCACAATTTTGTAACCACTCCATGTTTTCTACTTTCAATGAGCATGTTTCACATCTGTATAACAGGACAGAACATTTATAAATTTGAAGATAAAAAGTTTTAAATCTTACTTGTTCAATTAGATCACCAGCTTCAGAGCGGACAAGATCAAAAATATTTCGCTCCATTATCTTTAGGCTGTCTGAACCATCAGAATTAGGCAGCGGTGGCGATGAAAGTTTTGATTGATTCACCCAAAATGAAAGATCCAATATACACGGAGGGAATATACTAACTGGCTATTATTTAAATATACACATAAAAACAACAACAATGAAATCAGTAAAAAATTACACGATTGTTTACTAATAACAATGAAGGCTAACCCAATTATCGATTCGATTTATGCTCGGTGATGATTGGAGATGAGGGGCAAATCTGGACCGCGGCCGAATTCAAACAAGCGACCACCGGGTAATGATTCGATTTATGTTTCTTGACAGATGAGAAAAGGCACCTTCTACTTCTTTCAGCCTGATATTGTATTCTGATTTTGAGACTATTTGGGTAATTTACATTGGAGTTCTGGGTCATTGACTTAGGGAGGTGACCTTCAACGAGTGGGTCACGATATTGAACCCTGTCCCACCAAGGTTTCGACAGCCAGGTTGTATCACTAGCCTTCATACACACAATAAGTATGGCTTATTGTCTAATGTACGACTGTAGACTAGGTTGCTGAATCCATTTCCATTCGATGAGATGTAACATATTTAGCCACCATATTGAGATTACTTTTCTCCGGCAAATAGTGGTACAAATCAGTTATAACATGTAGGTTTGTGCACTAGGTAGTAAGTTGCATCAACCATCTGTGAATTAAAAATACTACCTAGTTGTCTATCCAAAATCGTCAGCAAGCCAGCTCCAGTTCAAACATATCCACTAGCAGACAACAGGCAACTGAAAGACTCGGAATCAATCCAAATTCACAGATCATAAGCGGTCAAAATAGCATATAATCGGGGTTGCATACTATGATGTTGACTTTGGTAATGTATCTCATAACAGAGTATCTTGTTATTTCGATCAGCTACTCCTAGATTATTCTGGCTAAAAATGGATACAAGAACACGAGCTGTTAGTTACAACACTGAGGCTTGCTTGCAGGTAGAACCAAAAGACTATGGCAGCTCTAACTGCTCAAAAACTTCAATGCATACATCAGAGGATATGTTAACAAGCTCCATACAACTTACAAGAGACGAATTTGAAACCCAGGTAGATGATTAATGAGCTCCAGAAATGTACCAAGGTAGATCGTGAAAAATCCATAGGTGGAAGAGCATTTGAAACTTTTGTTGATGAGCATATCAGTTGTTCAGGCATTTACAGAAGTCAATTTGATTCATTTAGGTTGGCAAATTTATTTAACCTTTTCATGGCTAAAAATGTTGTGGTAACGATTAAGTGCACACAACTGGTTGACACAACTTTTGCGCATTTTTACAAAATCAATACCGAACAACATTTGAATTCCACATCTAAAGCTATGGGAGATGCTTTTGGTGACTAGCACAAGAATCCAAGATGCGCGTTTCGTTCCACTTGGGACTCGTCAGCTGCATGTACTTGCACCTCAGTGTGTGTTGTTCTCACTGAAGCTCAAACGCAGTATCCTTCGCTTAAAACGTCGGAGCGTCGTCCGCTAAGTCACTGGAGCATGCAATAGCCACTTCTTGTGCAGCGGGTAACAGTTGTTATAATGATACTTATAATTTCCCGTTGCTATACAGCGCCGAATTGCTCTGAAGCGCGGAGACGAAGGTTCATCAAATACTCTTCTCCAAAGTGTTAGAAAATCACTCACATAATTACCAGCTTTCAGGAAAAGACCATATGAAAGGATAATTTTTAATGATCCAGTCAACTGTTTTTAAAAAAATGAGACACAACGTTTAATTCACATATAACGATGTGATTTATAGACAGAAAGATGGAATCGCCGTGGGATCCTTATTAGGCCCACCACCCTCAAACTGCTTTATGACCAGTTTGGAGAACGGACCCTTGAAATCAACGACTGAACGTTGTCAACAACACAAAACATACATCGACGATACTTTTATGATCTCTGATCATCAATATGATTTAAATCATGTTCTACAAATATTCAATAACTATCATTCAGCAATTAGATTCAACCTTAAGGTTGAAAATCGATCAAAAATTCAATTGCTTGATGTAGAGCTGACAAGAACAGCTGATGGAACGTTAAGTAGATTACTTTATATAAAACCAACGTAGAATGGTCAGCTGACGAACTTCAATAGCTGGGTCTCTATAAGTCGTAAGCGAAACTTGATCATATCTCTTGCTAATCGCACTCGGCGAATATACAGTCCTGATATGTTAGGAGGGGAAATTTCCGTTCTACAGAATATGCTGAATGAAAATGAATTCCCGCCATGCTTTACAGACAAACACATTAAACCTAAACCTCATAAACAGAACCTTACCACCGCGCCAAAAAAGACACTTTATATGGATCTAAACTTTAAAAATGATTCTGCCGCTGACAGTCTAAAAAGGAGGATATCAAACGCATTAAGGAGAAAATTCTTTGCACCAATGCAGAGATTAGCATTTTCTTACCCAACGGTTTCGAATAGCTCAAAGGGGAAACTTTCACATCTGACCACTTCTATATGCACATATCAATTCACCTGCTCTTGTAAGCCCAGCCATATAGGTAGCCTGATACAATTGTTATCCAAAAGGATTCAACAGCAATATCCTACATGGTTACAAAGAGGTTTCAATGGGACAATAAGCAGAGCTATAACTGAACACATAGTGAACACGAATCACTCTATTTCAAGAATCTCCTCGTTCAAAGTCATCGATAAAGTGAACAGAAAACTTTTCACAGCTGTATGTCTTCGTATTCTTCGTATCGCCGAAGCTCTTGACAGCCAAATGGAGAACCCTGAACTGTTTACGTAAAAAAAAGATTGTTCAACTCCTCCTTTCATGGTCTTAGTTTTCAGTCTCCTCTACCCCCAACCCACCTTTTTCTTTTCATTTTTCTGTTTTGACACTATTCACTTCTTATAAAGTCATGTTACGAAACTTAACTTTTTAGATTTTAATGACATCTGATTTATTGACACTATTTGTGTTGCTGTGCTTGACAAACAGTTTTCTTTACCATCAAATCCTTACACTAGAAAAATGTATAAATTCACAATTGTACAGTTTTGAAGACAGAATCGTTAAAAAGAGACTCTTCGCTGAAATATTCTTGTTCTTCTTACAAAATAAGACCTATCCTCCATCATCCGAACTTCTTACTGAAGTTGGTACTGATGATGTCGTCTAAAAAGACGATGAAAGCTTTAGGACTAAACAACTCAACTCAGAAAAAACAATACGACCAAGACAATGCAACTGAGCTACAAATATTCTCCACTATTTAAAAAAGCACTTTGTAACTTTATGAGGCAGGATCTAACCTGCTGCAGTTATTCCTGTTGACCTCCGCTTATCTATCACTTCAGATACCCAACAATGAATGTTATTACTCTTTAGGATTACAACGTACTTGCAGAATAAGCTATTCCATAATGGCTATTATCCACGGTTTCTAACAATTAGCCCAAGTTCCTAAGGGAATCTGTCCAAAAACTAACTCATAATCCAGACTACTGATTAAATTTACGAAGGGAAAGCATAACATTATTACCTTGTATTTGATTGGTGCATGGATATCATCTGTTTGAAACTGATTCAAAAAGCCTTCATCTTTCGACCAAAATAGTCGAATATCCGGAATCTCATATAACTGCATAGCCCATCTTTCTAGACCTAAACCAAAAGCGTAACCAACTTTGTTCGGTACACCGGCTATTTAAAAGAAAAAAGTAAGTATCATAAAGCAATAAGTGGCCAAAAACTTTTGTCCTACGACTCCAAACCATTTTCAATATCTAAAGTTCTATGAAAATGACTAAAAAGGCCTATGATGAGGAGAAGAAGTCAAGCTTTATGCATTAAATTAAAAGGTGAACTTGAACGTACCGGTTGCCAGATGATGATCGATACAACTGTTGAAGTCAACCGATCTACTTCTGTACTGTTTATTTTCTTTGGTTATCATCCAGTGACCAATTTTGGTGCGTACTGTACTCCAACAGGGAGTCAGTTGTAACGTGAATAACTTTATGGTGAAGTTCTCAGTTTCAGTACTAAATGGTACAGGTTTGAATCTTTGACGTAACACCTAACGGGCCTCAAGATTAAAAATACGCCTTGCTGACGAGTACCGATTGCTTCTAATCAACTAACACCCATCAAAGTGCACCTTGATGATAGGCTTACTGACCGAGAGAATCCTGTCACTTTTCAGTAACCAACCAATGTATTTAATCCAGTCGCACAGGAGGTTAGTGGCTGCAAAACTGGGTGATGTGGCTACAAGTCTCACAGGGGACATCACTTCCCTTGAGGTAGCAGATACGCCCTGTTGATGAGTGCCAACAAGGACAAAGCCAAGGTCTGATTGGCTTTCACCTGATTGTTGCTCACACCTAACACTTATTGCAGTTAGCCATCAGTTCCTACAACATGTAACATATCACTTAGGGTCGACTATTACGAATAGGTTGGTAAACGACAACATCACTGTTCTCAAAAAGATAGTTTTGATTAGTGCACGCTTATAACTGACACGATAAACACCACCATCCACTGGTTGGAAGTAAACTTTCCAAATCAGTGAGCCACAACTCCACTGTAGCTTGGTAGGTACCAATATACAAAACATGGGTAAGTACTGTTGAGGAGTCCCATACTAGGACAAAACAGATGTCCAGTGCTCTCGAAGTTTCAATGGTTCTCCAACTGATGTCAGTTAGTGATGAATACCACCTCTAAAATAAAAGATTATACTTTAATACACTGAAGAAGAGATTAACTTACAACGTTCTAGTAATTCTTGACGCATTATACCGCATCCTAGTATCTCAGTCCATTCTTCAATCCCTCCATCACAAGAATAACCAGATTTTGTTTTTATTTCCAGTTCCCATGACGGATGCGTGAATGGAAAATAACTTTCAGTCCAACGATATTGTACATCTGGAAAAAGATGAGGTAAACAATAAGTTTTAATCGAAAAAAAATGGACATATAAAAACAAGATAAAGGCGAAAAGCATTTCTGCTTGGAATGTCAAAGTTCCCAACTAACGACTTCTGTTATCGCTTGATGATTTCGAACCGAATAGAGATGTTATAACTTCATATGTGGACAGTTCAACATAAACCCATGATGTTATATTGATCTTGGTGCCTAGCGGAGGAATCCAAGACGCGCGTTTCGTCTTCTTTGGGACTCAGAAGCTGCACGTACCTGCACCCCACTTAGACTCGAACCCAGTACTCCTCACTCCAAACGCCAGAGCGTTATCCGCTAAGCTACTAGGACACGATAGCCACCTCTTGTGCAACAACATAACCCATTTGATGATAAGTGACGATTGGAGGTGAAAATAAAATTTGGGCATCTGAGGGATTCGAACCAGCGACCACAGCGTTTCGGTCCGGCGCTCAACTAACTGAGCTACAAGTCTGCCAGACCACGGCTATCTCAGATAGTCAAAATGACCATAAACTTATTTATTAAGCTGATGGCATATCTTGATATGATCATCCTGAAGCTTTCTCTGGCTCTATTCTTTGTTTAGGCAACATAGTAATGCAAGGCATTACAGACATAGTATATCCGATCCCATGGAAGATTGTTTATTTGATGCAGAGCACACTGTGATACTGGATAACGTTTCCAGTACTACTTATTCCTCATAATCATATCGAAGTAAGTATACACATTTCAAACTTCGCTTAAGCAGTACGATAGCTCTTCATTCTTTTATTTTAATGGTAGTAATCTGCTCCGTATATCTGAAGTATGTAGTGACGAATGAACCCCGTCACAGTTATCAATGAATCTCAGTGATTTAATTTAATGCCTAAATCTAATAATCCCAATAGGTTTTATGGTACCATTAAGATTCGTAAACTAGGTTAATCCAAGATACCGAAATTTGACTTCAAAAACATACCAACATATTAGTTATCCAAGTATTTAGCCAGAACATTATGTCTTGTTAGAAACTAATCAAAATCTAGGCTAACCAATTTATTTGAATCGAAACAAACTAAAAGATTTATAATTAGAGGCGAGAAAAAAGGTGGTCAATTTTGATAATGACGAGTCTCTGTACAAATATACCAATTAATATGATACTTGAGGTAGTCAGAAATGAATTCAGTAGTAGAAGTAGATGTTCGATTGAAGAAATCATGTTAAGGATAGAGTAGCATTAAAATTTAAATACATAGTATATCAAGAAAACAAAAGGCAGTAAGAGTAAAGGATGAGTGTACAGTGCTGGTCGTGGTGCATATTCCACTCCACGATGATACAGTGCTGGTCAACCGAACATATCTTAAGTACTATAATCATTTCACTTATGCAGTAAGACTGTTGTTTGCTTATTAATGATAACCAAAGTAAAATGTTCCAGATATCTACAATCTGTGATGAAACATTCCTGTCCCATGTTGACTCAATGAGGAGAGAGATTTTGTCATCAATCTCTCACTTCATCAAGGTATATTGCATATCTAGCTCATAAGTATGATTATGGGTCAGTGCATGCAGAACAATAGCTGAAGTCCCCTCTAAATCACTAATCTTAGTAAGAATCAACCACTGTATGTTTCGCTAAATTTTTCTGTTCTGCTATTTTAACTGACCTAGATCGGCTATTTTCACCTATATACTTGACCTCACATTCATCATTACATGGTATTTGATAGATAATGGTTATTTTACTTAATTGGCTCCATTGGATCTTTCAGCCTACAAAGAGTTAATGTGCGCGAAAAAACTCTTGATACTGTTTGATTTCAACACAGTAAATGTGTCATCTACATACTGACACCATACTTTTGGGATAAGTTAGAATGTTCTTAAAGCCATTTGTTCCTAATTGTCCATGATTATGTCTGCTACTATCGAGGATATTAGAGATCCCATCGCTACTCCTATTTATCAATATATATAATCTTGAAATTTGAAGGCTGTGTGAGTTAGATTCAATCGTATCCATAGTATTTCTTCGATTGAAACTTCTATTCCATTACTGAGTTCATTCGTCTCGGCACTCCACTTCCAACTAAACGGTCACAAATTTGAACTCTGCTCTACTTATCGAATTCCCAGCATTTAGATGTTATGATTAGCCTTCAAGACGCTGAAAAAGAGTCTTCTGAAGGTGTTGAGCAGAAATCTGAGTATGTTTCGCATGTAGTACGCAACTGTCAAGTTAAAGATGATGCTTCAGGACTGATCTGCAATGAATTCTAGTTTAAGAATAGGGAGTGAAGTGATCAAATGTGTCCACCACATCACTTACTGGACGAGTTGCATTACCCCGAGAAGGGTGGTTGGTAATAAAATTTTAGCTAGGATACAGAAGGTTCAACTGGTATTTGCCAACCTCTTTCACTGGTGGCGCTGGCGAGATATCCGACTACATACTGTGCTAAAAACCGTTCTGCCCTCTTGTACAGCTGTGAGATATGGCCGTTTTTAGTAGAAGATATGAAGCAGTTACAGGTTTTAGATCACAGATGTCTTCGTGGAGTCACCGTGTGAGCAATGTTGGGGCCAGGCAAAGAGTACTGAGTAAGACAGGAGGTTGTGAACTTTCATCGACTGAGATGACTTCGACATGCACTGTGCATCCGAATCCACTGCCTAGCTCAACGTGGCACACTAGAGGAAGATAGATTAAACAAGAAGAGGGTTGAGGGTGGTCAGACAAGGACCTGGCACCAGTTGATGATGTCCCTGACTGTGGGTCTGAGCCATGTTGCGAGATGTAGACTGTGTGGTTCGGATTCCCAAGACGACAGGAACCAGTGGCTGAAGACTGTTGGTGACATGGCTGAAAATCGGTCACAGTAACGCAGATGTATCCGCTGCTTGACATCTTAAGCTTGAATATTTGCGCTAACTTTCATCTTCAAATTGTTTATTCTCTTATGTACCCTTTCCTACTGTGATATCAGTCTTTTTTTATCCATCTGTTCTGTGTATACTACTGTGAAGTTTGGCAACTCGAACCAGTGTAAGTGTATGCAAGGTTCTACGTTGATTTGGTCTGTCCGTCTGTCTATCATCATTAATAATCATACAATAGGTGTCGCTTACTGGATACAGTACAATCGTGCAGGTGGTTGGTGAGCATACGTTTCTCTTTTCAATATAAACTAAGTGTGGAGGTAACAGTTGACCAAATATCTTCCAATCTCTTAATCAACACATCATATATCAATAAGTGTATCAAAAATGCAAAAAATGATAATAATAAAAGTCAACAAGAAGAATAAAACAGAATGAACTTTACCGTTAGCCAAAAAAAAACAACATAAGTACATCAACGTTAAAGATGCCTATATCCTTACCATTTGTACATTTTGAATTGCTTTTTCTTCTCGCACTTTTTCCCGCATGTAGGTCATATTTCATACAACCCACTAGCGTTCCGATTACCTCCTAATTCTTTAAATACACTAATTATTCCTTGTCTTTGAAGGTCATCATAAACTCTATAAATATAGTTCATAATAAATTTTTTTCAGCTCGAGATACTACACACTGAACTGATTACCGGTCTTTAGATTTCTCTTTGTGAATCCCTCAAGTCGCAGCATCTCAATCCTAGACTCTCAATCGTTAATTATTATCGCTTGTTCTTATAACTCAGCACCGAAACGATAACAGCGTAAATAATAATAGTAATAGTGTTAATGATAATAACAGTAATAATAATTACCCGGACCAAATAAAAATTTAGCCATTTCCCGTAGAACAGTTTTCAGTTCAAATTCCAATAACATTTTTGTTTCTGTTGTGTGCCTTGGTTGTTTATCACATGGCAATATAAACGATGGAAACACTTTGAATGGATAAATATCAGGTTGACTGTAAGGTGAAGATGGTGGGATATCTTCAAATAGTTGAAGGTGATGGCACGGATCGATAGCATTTTGAAAGAGCTACATCATTAAAAAGGCGTTTATAGACATAGACATTTGACTAATAGTTATCACAAGTGGAGAAAAGGAATGAGATAATATTCTCAACAACAACAACAAAAAACAGTATTCAACAAGTCTGTTAAGCTGGGAAAGTTAGGGAAAAAGAACCGAATTGTATAACACTATGTGAGTACACAGTTATCTTCAATATATGCATACTTCAGACACAATAACGAAATCTACAGGGAGATAGATGATGTGTCAATCTATTCCCCCTTACACACAATTAATTAATGGGATAAAAATGAACAAGTAAAATTCAATTGTAGCCTAGTTAAAGCTATGATCATGACCTGACCTTCTAAATACCTAGGCTTAAATACTCCACAAAATGAAAATCCAAACCACTAATTTGACTGTAAATCCAAAAAAGAAGACAGATAATTTACGATGACAATGCTTTGACAGCGAGACAATTGACAAATTGAAGTTGACAAAGAGCTTTGAACATCGAAATCCACTCAGCTATTATGTACTTATTCGTACAATAGGTAAATGAGCCACACATATTGTGCGAGAGTTAATGATACTACTTAGCTGCCCAAACCTTGGTAGACACAGTGCGGTTCAAACCTGTGACAAGTCGAGTCATAACTATGAACTCAATGCTTTATCGGATTTCAGTCTCAGTGAGAACGTCATCACTCATTGAGATGCAGATGAATCCAATTTGGGGGATAAGATAGGAAGAAATCCGTATCCTAAATCCTATTGCTAGCATCTATCAAGCAAATAACTCGAATATATAAGCTAAATGATACGTTTGACATTTTCCCTAGATTATACCATTACTCCAATCGGGCAGTAATTTGGTGTTCGATTTTGATATAATTCAAATCCACCTGGGATTACGTCATAATTCACATCAGCACAATGAAAAAGAAGTCGATAAGCATAAGGCTATTGCAGTTAAAGTAGCAATAATAATAATAATAGTGATAATAAAAATAATGTGTTATTACTTGTATTACATCGTCGTTGATTGGACCGAACTGACCAGTCTCTGTTGGCATATGGGCTCCTATGCGGATGCCTGGATATTGCCTGTCTTTTAACTATGTATAGTAAAGATGGGCAGTGACTAGCAGTGGAATCCAGGATGTGCATTTTGTCCTATTTGGGACTCGTCAGCTGGATGCCCATCATTACATAATTTTTTGAAAACAGGCAATATCGAGGCATCCATACAGGAGCCCATGTGCCAACAGAGACTGATCAATTCGGTCCAATCAACGACGGTGTCATACAAGCAATAACACTAAAACTATATCCGTCGCACAAGAAGTGGCTATCGTGGCTCGGTAGTGTAGTGGATAACGCTCTGGCGTTTGAAGCGATCGCTCCCGAGTCCGAGTCCCGGTGGGAACAACATTACTCACTAGGAGGCAGGTACATCCAGTCCCAAATAGGACGAAATGCGCATCCTGGATTCCACTGCTAGCCATCATTACTATACATAAATAATAGTAATAGTAATGATAATGACGTCGCTAACTCCAAAGATGCTGTTCAACAAAAGGAGATAAAATGAATAAATATACATGATAATATGCATTGCAACCAAAGGTTAGAAAAAAATGAGGCTCAGATGAACTCCAACACCGAGATTAACTCAGTATCGTATTCCATACAGTCTGCAAGCAACCAATCTGGTTGCTTCATGGACAGTGAAGCTGGAATTCTTTAGTCTCCTGCGGTGGAGAAGTTAATTATTCCCCACAATGAGTTTGTATTGATTCGAGCTACGTCAGAAAACTGGAGAGCCATCGAATTTGAGGAGCAAGAGAAACTGTAGTTCAACTAATCACAGCTATCTATGATTTTCTACTACAGGCAGTTCAACTTATCCTGTATACAAATGATGATGATCAGTTTGAAAGTGACAACAAAATCTTGACAATAAGCATCATTGAGAATCAATGAAATGATTAAAGGTTTAAAAAAGCAAACCAATAACAGCAATATCAGTCAGGGATGGAATACGCAAGTTATCTACTTGTCATACAGTTCACAAGAAGTTCTGCATAAATACTCATAAAAGTATACAAAAATGAACATGACGATTAGACTGACACTGAGAGCTTTTACTGAGAGAGCAGCAATACAGGGGGAAAGATACACAGTTACTTCGCGTCCATTCGTACAAAAAAATAGATGAGGCATATGAACAGTGAATCAGAATTAAAACCTAGGAAAGATTATTGATGTTGGTGACTAACAGTGGAATCCAGGATGAGAGTTTTGTTCTGCTTGAAACTCGTCAGCTGGGTGTACCTGCCCCAAATGTACCTATACCAGCTGACGAACCGTAAATAGGACGAAACGCGCATCCTACATTTCACTGCTAGCCACCAAGATCAATACATCATGAATATACGACAGTGTTAGGGCATCCCCCATAGGAGCCCACCTTCAACCCTGTATATCACGGGGAAACTACGAGTATGATAGTCGTTCAATTAGGGCTATTCCACAGTTTAAGTAAATCAGTAACCGACAGTCTAAGTTGGTTAGTGGTTCAGTGATTTCAGAGCTCAAATTTCACGCATGCTGCTCCAGGATTCAATTCTAGTTTTGCCGACAAGAAATTCTACTACCTAATCATTAAGACAGACTCGGTCGGAGATGAACACAGAGAGATCTACCAAACAAAATAAGATGAAAATGGTATGGAAACGTAGAAGTGCGTGTGAGAGGAGAGAGAGAGAGAGAGAGAGAGAGAGAAAGGCACAACCACCACATAAGAGGAAACAGTCACGGACAAAACACCTAAGGAACTTTTACGCCAAAAATCAGAAGAAAGACCTATCATGATGACGAACCACACATATTGCGTAAGGACCAATGACACTACCTGCCTTCCCATACCTCAGTAGGTGGAGCAAAGTCCGAATTCATGACACCCATTGAAAGTTAACTGCCTAAACTAAACCAATGAGTCACAGCTCTACTAGAAAAAAGGATCCAAGGAAGCTAATCGCAACTAGTTTCGATCCAACATTATGAACAGGTACATCCAGCTAACAAGCCGCTAACCATCATTAATAAATCAAGGTAAAGAATGTACAATGAACAAAGTTATTGAGTTAACAAGTTTCTAAGTAAGTAGTTACCTAAAATAGGATGATCAGTTTGGAAATTATTTACAAACTGCACGGTCCACGTTGACATTTCTCACACATCTGAGTATTTTTTTGTGATGATACTCGTAATTTCCCCGTTGACATACGGGGACGAATTGCCCGACCTATGCTGTTGACAGATGGGCTCCTATTCGGATACCTCGGTACTGCTGAGTATTCATGATATTATATTGATCTTGGTAACTAGCGAAGGAATCCAGGACGCGCATTTCGTCCAATATGGGACTCGTCAGCTGGATGTACCAGCACACCAGTGAGTGTTGTCCTTAGTGAGGCTCGGACGCAGTACTCTCCGCTTCAAACGTTGGAGCGTTATCCATTAAGCCACTGCGGCACGATAGCTACCTCTTGTGTAACGGGCCAACAGAGGTCAAGCAATTCGGTGCTGTTTACCAACGAGAAATTACAAGTATCATTATGACAACTGATACCCGTTGTACAAGAGGTGGCTATCGTGCCCCAATGGCTTGGTGGATAACGTTCTGGCGTTTGAAGCGGAAGGTACTGGATTCGAACATCAGTGAGAACAACATTACTCACTGGGATGCAAGAACACCCCACTGACGAGTTCTAACCACGACAAAACGCGCGTGCTAGAGTCACCTAGATCAATATGAGTAGTTTTACAACTGCCCAAATGTGGTGTTAACGAGGTTTCCTCTGGAAAACACTCAGCCGAGATCATATGTGATCTCCGACACAAGTGTCATGAACTAGCAAAAGGGGTTTTGTAAATGAATTACGCTACTTTAGGTCTACCGGTACATGCAAGTCAGCTAGCAAGATTTAAGCGATCTGAACTAATTCATCTGTATGAACTAAATTTGTTCGGGTACACATCTGATGAGCTGACCCAGTCACAAACGAGGGGAACGAACAACCGGCGTTCAGATCACTCCGATCTGGCTGGTTAGCGAAATCTACAGATCAGCCTAAGTGTTTCCTAGCTACTCAAGTCGTTTAGTAGTAGTATCCGTCGCTAATTTGAGTTAGGAATTATTCTAAAACGAAATTCTTTCATATGTATTGGATTGATAACTTTCAGTTACGAACATGAAACGGTTTTATAAACTTAAGGATCAAAATTCGACCTGAGAGAGTTGAATATGTTGAACGTTGGGTAAATGGATTGTAAATGAAACATATTTGTAAAATCCCAGGTCGAGATAATGACTGTACATACTTTTTTTGCACACAAAGGTTAGGCTTCAGTTCATGGATAGATAGCCAAGGCCTCTGGTGTTTTTAGAAGCTGAACACGGAGGAAACGTGAGACGTTTGGGCGAATTCAATCGACAACCTTAAAATCCTTGTTTGGGTCGGTTGAATGGTTGGAATCGATTAAATGCTCAAGGATAGAACTTCGGATGTATTTCCTTTCACCCTTATAAAATCAGGCCACAATACGTTCTCGTATACGCGTTGACAGCAATGTCTGACTACGGCAAATGTACCTTGCTCCATAGGAGCAAGTGAATTGGTAGATACAGATGGATGTGGCCTGTCGAGGGACATTATCTTTTATACAAACGGAGAACAATTTACGACTAGCTGAGAAAAAAGTCCTACTAACTAATCTGGAAAGACAATTTTTCAGGATATCTGATGCTGCATCACCTTTGAAGTCCAAAATTCATGAATAAAGTATGTTTGGAAATGTATACGAGAACATATTCTGGCCTGATTTTATAGGGGTGAAAGGAAATACATCCGAAGTTCTATCCTTGAGCATTTAATCGATTCCAACCATTCAACCGACCCAAACAAGGATTTTAAGGTTGTCGATTGAATTCGCCCAAACACCTCACGTTTCCTCCGTGTTCAGTTTCTAAAAACACCAGAGGCCTTGGCTATCCATGAACTGAAGCCTAACCTTTGTGTGCAAAAACAGTATGTAGTCTTTGTCTCTCTCTCTACCTTGGTCTTAATTTATTTTAGTATTGGTGTGCTTCGTTCTCTTTTTTCGTTTTTTACTCCCCCCTTTTTTATCAGATTAATCATTGTACTCTTATATTGCCATTGTCACCTTATTTTTACATTTAATTGTTCCCGGTGTTATTTCATTTGATCTTCTTAATAATCGTTACTTTTAACAACTTCAGCTAATTCTAGGTAACTTATTCATATTACCTAATCCTTTGGTTGTTTATTAACGTTCTCACCCTTTCTAATCTATATGCACCTTATAAACGATTTAAAAGTCTTGCGTAAGCCTTTTTGTTATCATTCGACCTTTATGTCATCAACTAGCAAAATTATAATTATAACGACCACTATTATTGTTTCAATCCCCCACTATTTAAGTTAAATCTTCATCACAGATTACAGTCTTCAAATACCATATATGTATACGAATGTACAGCTTGAGAATAAATTCGTTGGAAAGAGTTCTCTTCGCTGAACATCTTGTTTTTGTGATCTGATTTGTCACCATTTACTATTTAAATAGGCGATAAGCAACTTCCACGAAGTTAGGAAAAGTCAATAATGTATTTATCTACCTCATTGGGATTTTACAAATACAACTTCATTTATAATGAAACGGTTTTATCCAACAATACCGCCTACCTATCAACCTCCATGTGCCATGCTACAGGAAAGTTGGATTAGGTTAAAAGAGAGTTCAGTGTGGCCAGGCTAAGATGTGGTACCAGTCCATGAAGTCCTTGACTGTACACTACTTGGTTGGGGTCCCCAATGAGATGATAGGAATCAGTGATTTAGGACGCATCCGTGACATGGCTGGAAATCGGTCACAATGGCGCAGATGTACTCCCACCCATGTCTTCTAACTCTTGCATATTCGGAATTCAGATTGCTTGTTCCCTCATACAACTTTGTCGACTTTTATATCAGTCGTTTACTATTCACTTTTTGTTTGTAGGCTACTGTGAAATTTGGCAACTTTAACTGATGTACTTGTATGCCACGTTCTACGTTGGTTTTGTCTGTGTTTGTCTGACACTATCACATGTAATACTGTTAATCAAGTGTATGTTCACTTTGATGTAAAAAATTCTCAGAGGAAAAATATGACACTTAGTGAGAAATTTACTGTCAGGTGTTTTGCATTATTCATAACTTCATATATAAACGATAATGATGATAATACTGCTGCGATTCAATGTAATACAGATGTATATTTGTGAAGGATTTTCAGTGAGAAAATACTATGGTAGGGTAGAAGGAATACTACACAGCTTCTATGTGCTGTTTTATGAGTATTCAGAACAAGGCATATCGAAGAAATCAACGTAACGGGTAAGTGCCCATGATCTTTCTTCCTTACTTACTGACCTTCCAGTTGTTGAAACTGTTTATTATCTATGCGAGTACAATGATTCTAATAATAATGGTAACATTGGACTACCTACGAGCTACCTAAAGGAGCTAATATTAAGATGTACGTTTAAGGTACAGTTCAGATTTAATGATGCGATTTATAGTCAGACGGACGGATAGAGTCACAATGGGGTCTCCACTAGACTCTCTCCTGGTTGATATCCCAATACCGAAGCTTGAAAATGGACCACTTAAAGAAATAATCTAGGAACTTTATTTGTATAGAGAAGGTACATTGACTACACTTATTTAGGACGAAATATGTCTAGTAGACAAGTAAGTTGCTTATACGATCCAATGATTGTCACCCTGTCTATTAAATTCACTATAGAAGAGTTAAATTCAACGTTTCACTTCCTAGACATGATGTTAAAGAGAAGAGATGATGGCTCAATTCAAAGGTCAGTCTATCGTAAACCAACTTGAACTGGACAGTTCACTAACTTCAATAGTTGGGTACATCTTATATATAGAAATCTTATACACCTGCTGCGTTCTAGATTCTGTTCAGAAGACACGGTGGATGTTAAGATTAAAACTCTTAGAACAACACTACTGAATAATGGATACCCTAGAAGATTTATTGATAATAAAGAAACGAATCACCTCTTAACCTATTTACAGTTCCTAAAAAAAATTTTAATTATGAATCTGGAATTCAGAGTGAACATCATAGCGGAAATGTTGAAAAGCCATCTGTCGAAGTGAATGATTGGTACCTTTTATTCTGCTAGACTGAGATTGATATTCTCCAGCCATCGTCTGATTCGATAACGCGTGAAGAATAGATTAGCACTTATGTTCACATCTATGTGCATCTACAAATTCATATGCTTCTGTGGAGTTGACTATATTGGACGTTGTAAGCGGGCCCTTCGAAAACGTGTTGCTGAACATTATCCGGTTTGGCTTACCAAAGGTGAGAGAAGAAGAACTTTGTCTATATGTGAACACCTAGTGGAGATTTATCCTTTAAGGTAATTTACACAGTTAAGTTGAACTACTCCAAAGGTCTACGTTTCCGCCACTTATGCGCAACTGAAGCATTAGTTATACATGAACAGAAATCGAAACTGCGTTGAAAGATGATTTGTGACTGACTGATAAGATCGACGTAGAACCTTGCACAAAAGTGCATCCCTTCAAGTTTCCAAACTTCACAGTAGTAAAAAAGAACAGGTGGATAGAAGAAGTGATATCAAAGTAAACAAAGTTGTGTGATAGAACAACAATCTGAAGACAAAGGTTAGCAAGAATATTCAAACTTTTGAAGATGTAAAGGAGTGGATGCATCTGCGTCACTGTGACTGATTTTCAACCATGTCACAAACAGTTCCCAATCACTGATTCCTTTCGTCTCCGGGACCCAAACCAGGCAATCGACACTATCCCATACGACTCAGATCAATAGTAAGAGACTTCATCGACTGGGGCTAGGTCTTGGTCTGGCTACCCTCAACCCTCTTCCAACCTAATCCAATTTACTCTAGTACCCCACGTCGAAATAGGCGGTGGATGGGCATGCGCAGGACATGTCTAGTTCGTCTGAGTCGATGAAGGTTTACAACCTCGTCAACTGACTTATCTGTCTTACTCAGTACCTTTCTCCTGACTGCAACACTGCTCATACGGTGACTTCACCACACCACTGTCATGTCTCACACCCATACAACAGGACAGAACGGACTGCAACGCAGTATACTTGTCCTTTGATAGATAGCCAGATATCTCACCAGTTGGCGCCACAGGTGACACAAGTTGGTAAATGCCAAACGGGCTTTCTGTGTCCAAGCTGATATTTCGTTAGCAACCAGCCTGTTCAAGCTGATGCAACTCGCACAGTATGTGATGTGGTTGACACAATCCACCACTTCACCGCCTATCATTAAGCTAGGAGTCGTTTCACACCAGTCCTGGAGTATCATCTTACATTTAACAAGTGCGAAACCTATGCCAAACACACACAGACTTCTGCTCAGGGAGTTCAGAAGATCGTGCATCTCGACAGCGTCTTCACCTAGTAGGACGTTATCGTTTGCATATTCCAAGTCAACTAGATGACCTCTAGCGAGTAGGTAAATCCCTGTGAAGTCAGACTTACCTAAGGTTATATCCATTAGTACATCTATGATGAAGTTAAGTAGGAATGGTAACAGCGGACAATCCCCACCAGGCACCACTAGTTGTTGTCAACTCACTTGATAACTCTTCACCAGTCCTAACACAGCTGCGTGAGTGAAATCACTTTTTTAACTTTGGTCTTAACAATCCACTTTGGTTAGTCTATCAATTTCATTTCATTTTTATCAACATTATTATCACCGTTTTACACTTCATTGATAGTCGACCCTCATTTCCACCACCAACATTAGTTGTATCTTATGTATACTAACTGAGCGCATTTATCTGACATTTTACCGACTATAAACACGACAGTCACTGGAAAGAAAGATTTCTTCACTGATATGTATCTTGTTCTTGTTATTCAACAAGAAAATAAACAAGAAGGATTCAGTTAAAAACATATAAGGGAGATTATCTAGGTAGCTGAGAGACAGATGTGACAAGGAAAATTCATGCTTACTTCATCATATGTAAACAGTCGAACACCTTCCAATTGATGAAAGACAGGATAATGCAGTGAATCAATATCGTCTCGTCGATAGACATCACCGACAACAAGAAAAGCATTTAAACCGGAACTGAGTAAATCCAATTGATGGGCTGATGTATGACTACGCAAAACTGTTGTTTCATTTAAATAATATGTATCTGTTCTTAGTCGACTTGGATGGTCTGGTGGGATAAGAAGACTGTCAAAATTTTGTCGTACTGTTACCACCGGTGACAAATTATCATATAAACTGAATAATGGTGTACCATTTTGACCATCACTGCATACACGACGAACATGACGCTAGTAGATAAGGTAGAAAAAGTGATAATTATATTGGTTTAAAAACAAAATTTACATCACCACAACTACATCCAACACATCAACTACTGTACTAATTAATTACAATGTAGAAGAGTTGAATTATGCTGATGGATAAAGCTTTTATTCAGTCAAAAAAGAATATACACACTAATATGTTGATGCTTACTAGGGAACATAGAACCGTCAGAAAAGCAATTTGAGCCACATGCAAAGAAGATATCCACTACTACGATCACACTTAACACTAAAGTAATAGACAAGTCTGTAATATGTACCCGATTAAACCATAGATCTACCTTGAAAAGATACACTAAAGTTGTCGTTTATTTGTTTAAGGAGTCGATTTTTAACTAGTAAGTCACACATTCAAAACTCTACTCTATCTAGCGAGATTTGACCAATCAGGTACCACCATTAGCCCTCCTACACACAATAGGTGTTGCTTACTGTCAGGTGTACGAATATGCACAAGGCTGCTGAGTGGATTTGGATACTTTTGAAAAGATACAATGTGCTAGTTATTTTAAGCGAGTTAGGCTACAATTCTAGTCAATTGACTGTTAAATTCCAAACAAATAGTTTAAAACAAGCAACAGCAACAAAAACAATGGTGACTAACAGCCTATGATGATATGCATGTTAGTTGAAGTAGGAGCTCATTAGTTAAGAAAAGCCTCCAGGTAATCAAACCATGACACGGTGAACTCATAAAACTATCGATCACTAAGCTATGCATAGAAATGCAAGCTTCCTCTGGTTGAATTCCTCAAAATGTCAAACCGGAAGTTTTAAGTAACATAACTCAAAATCGATCATACCGGCGCTTTATAACTTCATACTTCCCGTTTATCGATACGTTCTTTCGTTTTGTTTCCATTAATAGCTTTCTGCTTTTGTTAAAGTGTGGTAGAATACATCAATGCATTTTTTGTACTCATTAGTAAAGCATTGTTGTCGAATAATGAGCGCTAAAAAGTACGGAGAAGGCATCAAATGTCTTGAACATTGACAAAAATGTCACTTGTTTAAATTCAGTCTTATAATGTAGCAATGAAATACATTTCAAGATGGGACAATGAAAAAGCAGTCTTTGTAATCCTTTCTTGATATCTTCCGATAGTAAAATGGCAAAAAACTTGAAAACAGTAGTTATTTTGCAAGACAACACAAAGTGTACGAAAGCCAAGTGACTGAAAAGGAAAGAGAATTCAGTTAAATTAAATTCTAAGATTGTAAACTCCGGAGTTTCGTTGAAGACGAAACACAGTGATACAGAGTATTTTCAGTAGACAGTGAATAACATCCACTTTGCCATATGACAAAATGGACAAATGCATTGTTTGACGTATCCAGGACATAGCTGTTAAGCGTGTTCTAACATATATGACAATCAGGTTTATGTATCCGGAATTTAATGAAAAAAAAGTCCAGTTTATTCTAGAATAGTGTAAAACTATAAATATTCGATCACTGATAACTTGCATAAAATATTGTCAGTGTGTGATACAACTGCTGACTGAACGATTGTAAAGGTACTAACAGAGTTTTGAGTTTGAGTACTCTGAAGTAGTTAAGATACATCTGTGACGACCGTTAAAACATCACCTGCCTGGACACTATGTAACCAAAAGGTGTACAATAGAACCCCTCCCCCCCCCACAACATTTGAGTAAATTAATTGTATTTAACCACAAATCTACTGACTTTTGGTTTTAGAATTATGTGGATAAGCCAAATGACTGAGATCATTACAATTATGAAACACCCAAGTAAACAGACAAAATTAACTTAGGACATGGTATTGCTGCGTAGCGATTTCATTTGTCACATCAGTACATCAAAAGAATAGGTATTAATGAGATACCGAGAAATGAAGCCGTTACAAGTGGGAGAAAGTCATTAAAAGGTGGCAAGAAAAAAGGGGATGTCCATATTCAAATTCATGAATATGATGATTATGTGTGGATACATTTGTGCTGCTTTTATGGATTCTCAGTCACATAAACAAGAGTCCCCAGCCAATGGTTTTGGTTGTCACACGGACTCCAAATACTTCAGAGGCTGATATCATCTGTCAGTCTAACCCCCTCTAACTCTTTTCCAGCCTGAACCTACTTCAGCTAATATTGTGCGATGAGGCAGACGGTGAACAGATATGAGTAACATATTTTCCAGCCATCTGAGCTGATGAAGGTTCACAACCTCATCTAGTGACTCTTATCTCCCTACAACTCTACATCTCACTTCTGCATTACTGAAGTAGTGATACCCTGACATGTGGCCTAAGTTTACGCAAGTAATGGGGTCGAATACATGATACTTTTTAATATCCTTTACCGTTAATGGCCATGTTTCACAGCTATGCAGTAGAATGAAGCGCACTACAGTAGACGCTTGATAGACAACCAGAAATTAAAGTGGCGACACATGGCGTGGGCTTTTGTATCTGTCAGTCACTGACTCACCAGGGCTGACACCTCTCAGGTAACTGAAGTGGTTAACGCGCTTTACCAAAAAGGCGGTTTCCTCCAGTCTGTTGTTCCCGAGCTCCACTAAGTCATCTAGTATTTTATAGAACCTAGGATCTTAGATACCATATTCACCAGGTTGATTCTCCTATGGTTATTATAAGAGGACTTTTCACCTTTGTTGAAAGCTGGGACAATCAGTGATTGAGATTAGTCCGATGGGATCATATATGACTCATATACACCAATTAACAGTTAAGCTAGTTTGACTAATAATTCTCTACCATAGCCCTGAAATAATTCTGGTACTAACCCGTCTAGGCCCTGCTGTTTTTTTCCGTTCCAGATTGCCTACAGCTTTTTCTACTTTTGAAAGAGTTGGGGTTTATATTTTGATATTCTAATTCAGGATCCGATTGGATAGTAGACAAACGAATAAATGCTCTAGGCCAGTTGAACAGTTGCTTTGAGTGTAGCACCAATCCTTCCAGTTGTCTCCTGATAGTGAATTGCAGACCCATCCTTCTCCACATATAGTCGCACTAACTATTTACCTTCATTATCCATTTTTCTTGATAATTCTAATTAGCTCCCTACTGTGACCTATCGTCGCTTTCCTTTCCATTTGGTTAGCTTTCACTACCCACAACTGTTTGTGGCGTTTGTAACTACTCGTTAGTCTACATTTGCGTTGCTTCCGCTCTTTATTGTGCTCGGAACCCGTGGGGACGCTTGGACTCGCGTTCATCAATTTAGAAGCTGCCGATATCCACTAACCCTATCTAAACACCTTCCAAGAGTCAGACATAGTCCTTAACGCTGTTTCTGTAACAGACTGGAGACAGCGCCAAGCTTTTTTGGGCGAGCGACATTATTCTATATCGATAACAGTTGCCTGCTGAAATCCTTACTATTCTCATCGCCAAGCAGCATTCGCAATGTTTTTGGTGGTGTCGTTTTCCCACGTCCATTCCAGCGCAGACACATACGTGCTAGGACACACAGTTGTTGTCCAAACACGTTCTCCAGAAGCAGCAGCAGTTTTCCGCCGACACTCCAGCAGTAGAGTCCATCTATGTCTACCGCTAAGTTGAACTGTGTGAACGCCACATCAGAAAATATCTGTCTTTATGTCTGGAGTTCGTAATGACCAGAAACAGATGGTTGTCTGACCACAGTTGAGCAAGCGATTGTGGTTATCTATTCGCTCGGTTGGTATTCCAAAAGTGCCACCTAAATGCCTTTCTGCCTGACTCAGCCTACCCACTTGTGTATTGAAATCACTGCAACGATAACTACATCTGAACATTTGACTTTCAGTAGGAGATCAGATAGTTTTCGGTAGGACTCATCCTTCCCCTCTTCCCAGCTGGTCAGTGGGGGCATAAGAGAGATTACAACGAGGCGATGGCGTTTCACTATTCTTTTTAATCCTCACTGTGACGTTCAGTCGACCAGCGCATACGAGACTATAAACTGGGATCCAATCGAGCACTCCATTTCCAGCCTTAACCCCGCTGGTATGCTTGCACATGTAAGACCATGACAACCAGCCGTCAAATCTCCAGAAACCTGAAAGATGAACTGCATGAATTCACCATATTGACTAGGTGGTATTAAGTGAATGATCACACTTGAGTTTTGTATTCAAGCCTCGCAAACAGCACACACCTTTAAATGGAACGAGAACAACAGCTTCGGCAGAATAACATAGATATGTTATTTTTTGGCTCCTCATCAGCTGCTTACAACCTAAGAAAATTTTAACGTCAGTCTATAAAAAATGTTTACGTAATCGAATCAGTTTGGTAGAAAATTGTCGGGCTGGCACACATCCATGAACCGAGATGAGAAGCTTGTAGGACGGAGGGCGCGGAAACTGAAAACTGTGATATATAGTTTCGAGCGCGGTTTCGGGAGACTAGTTGTGGTATTCTGTGAACAGATCGCTACCAAGAGCATCATAGCTTGAAGAAATTAAAGATGAAATAGGGATGTTGACGGAGAGACTTGGAGGTAGATTAGAAGGAAAGGATGTGGAAGGTTGATAATGAGCTGGGAGAACTTGAGTGTTGCCAGAGTTGTGAGGGTGGTTGACACTTCCCAGCTCCCCACATTGTCAAAGATGTGAAATATCCAAAACAGAAATTTTTAGATTCCAACACTCAAAAGCAACTTCAGTAGCAAAGTACTCACGTCCACTTTTTCTCCCTATACTTCCTGATTACTGCTGTTCGTCGTGTTCAGTCAGTGTGGCGTTAGAAGCATGAAATATGTCGAGCAATGATTTACGCTGGACAGTTAACTAACTGACTTCTACGAATGTATATCGTTTAAGGAATAAACCATAAGTTATTTTTCATATGGAAAATAACAAAATAATCGCTTTTTTCTTTTTGCTTATTAAATTCTTACTTTAAACATGAAGTCCGAAATCCGCTGTTTGATTAAATTTAAAGGATGATATTTTTGATTGTGCAATGACCTTTTCGTAAGCTCAACAATGTGAGGAGCTACATTGTACCATGAATCTTTTATAGTAGGCTGGCCACAAATAGAAATCCAATTAGTTGAGCTGTCACTTGCAAGTTGTAAGCTTTGTTCAGTCTATTTTGATAAATAAACAAAAACAAGTACTCAAGAAAAGAGAAGAGAGTAATATCATCACTAGACGTGGTATTTATTATCAGTTAGGAAAAAAATACGGTTAGATAAACTCAGTCCATATAAAGTCTTCATTGTAGGAAGCATTTGCAACGGCTGAGCGTGAGTTAAATTGGAGATTCTATGGTATGACAATGCGTGTATAATCGTTTCAAGTTTAAATCTCAAAGGCACTTTTTCCCAAAGATACAATTAATCTTTTTGATGACTGCCAATAAGTATGAAAACTAGGAGTCTAACCTTTTTTAGTAGTTAGCTTTACTTAACAAGTAGAAAATAAATTAGGTTACTATGCGAAAACATTAAACTTAAGGATTGCTGAGTGTACGCTAACTTGAGTGCTACAGTGGATTCTGACAAATTTGTCACGTTCTTTATTCAGACACTATCACAGTATAATATAGGGACTGAGAAATGCACCATACAACACCATTGTATACCTCGATTTCTTTGCCGCAAGTGCTTAAGTGTGTATACACATTATTCACTTCAAACAACATATGTAAGTGTAGCTTGAAACAAATATCTAGTGGCCAAAACATACCAGGATTTCAGAGACAATCAATGCTTTAAGTACATGTTGTATGATCAAATTATTGAAGGCAACTGCTTTGAAATACTACACGAATTGATTTTTAAGGGTGAAAAAGGTAGATGATTGGTTTTAAAAATAGACTAAGTTAATTTATCTCTTAAGCAAAGAGATACCGTAAGTGTAGAATAGCTTTATCCACTCATATTTAAGACATCTTTGTGAAGATGTGACTCACTCAGACACTTAACTTCTAAGCAATGGGTGCAGAGTTCAAATCCAGATTCGTCCATTTTTATCTAAATAACCGAGTAGTATGACACACCGTCACATAATAATTGTAACTCAGCCTTCTACATAGATGTGTACTACACTACTGACTATCAAGATTGTCTAAATCTCAATAATCTGGTTGTTCTTATATAGACTAGCACTATATATGGCCAAAATATATTGTCTTACAATGTCGTCAAAACCTACCAATCTGAGCACCAAGTTTAGTCTTTTAAATAACCGTCTAGATATTTTGGATGGAATGTAGCCTCGAAGATACATATACTTATGAAGCGAGTGATAAATATAAAAAGAGATCTTGAAGATTTATTAAACATGATTGATGTTTCTGAGAAATATAGCCAGTTCAGTAAAGGATCGTATGCATCAAAGCAATGTACAAATGAGTACTGCCAATATGATGGAAAAGCAGAATCACTTGAAATGCTACTACCAAAAAACTTTAGTCATTGAATCACCTGGAAGGCTAAAAGAAAAACCCGATTCTTGGACTTGAAATAGTGTAGTCTTATTTAATTTCCTTGTAATCAAAGCCAATAACTTCACAGTTGCTAAAAATGTAACTTACAGAAAGTAGTCTACACGACTGTAAGCGTAAATTGTGGGCTAGACGAATAAAACATGGATACGAAGGCAGATGCATCAGCATTCACTAAAATCAAGTAGATAAACATTAAATGAACAGGATACTTATTAAGCAAATAAAATATGATTAAAAGTGAGATACAGAACTCATAGAGCTCTTCAATGATGAGGTTTCTTTAATCACTTAGTAATGGATACTGTGAAAAATCTAGGATGCAGGATCATTTAAGATTCAACTAAGGTGACCGCATGTACAACAAAACCTGATCAAAGTGACCAACTGCTTTGTTGGCAATAGATATGAAATTAGCACAGTGTCGACTGATAAACAAAAACAGTTTAAAAAACAAAGTGCACCGTCCGGTGAAGACGAATAACAAGTATGACAAGCTTTTTCAATGGTCAGTACTAGTATCTAACGTAGTTTAGCTTCTATTATCAAGAGTACAGTCGTTTCTTAAAAACAATGAAATCCTAGGCTATAAACGAACCACGTAAAAGTCAGAAAACCTCAATATCAAACCAGTGGTCCATATAAGCGTATGAATGCATTTTAGTTACCTGTAACTATGATAACACGACCATAGAAGTTCCTTTCCTAATAAACGGATCAATTACCTACAGCGATCATACTTTAGCATGTGTAAGCTAAGTTTCGGTGTTCAATATCTCGCTAGACAAAAGTGGACGTAACCGAGCCAGCTGTGCTTGATACTGCAAACGAATCCTAAACGCAGCAGGGTTTAAGGCTAGCTATTAACCCATGGGAAGCTAAGAATATCTACGGTCGGTATTATTCAGCAGTAACCTAGAATTATTAGAAAGACTCAGAAACAATTACTCGTGAAAAACAAGTCTGACAGCTTCCTGGGGGTGAGTAACTTCAGCAGTGAGAACAAAATAGACATAAGAGAAGAATTTAGTTCGTATGGTGTGGTAGTTTTCTTACAACTTTTTCGCTCTCCATTACACGGTGAAAATGTGGTAGAGCTTTCCAAACGTTATCCACCTACTTCTAGTTTTAACTTCTAAATTGTTTGGCCTTCTTGTCTTGGATTATTAAGATTCGTCGATTGTCTTTTGCCAGTAAATATAAGTACATCTCGGGTGCTTACTAAGTTAACTTCGTAAGCAGGCTCATGCTTTTACTTTTCGCTTCCACATCCGCTCTGCAAACTTTCATACTGCAAAGACGTACTTATTGAGCAGACTAAAACCCTTTCTATACCTGATCGTTGCATATGTAACGACCGTACTAAGCGCTATGGTTTAATGGACATTTAAATGTCGTGCTCGAACTCGACCACAATTAACACCTTACACTCAAATCGAGGTCAGTTCACTCCCATTTGACATTGGAAATAAGAAGCTAAATATCTAGTGTGTTTTCGCAATGTTTACATGGTATACATTACTATAGTTTGTCTCTATTCAAATGTCTGGATGGTTAAGATCTTCAGTTTGTGTTTCCTAAGAAAAAACCAGATACCATGACATTTGGCGCTCGTGAAACAACTAATATTCTTGCAAAGACGACAAATTTAACCACTACCTTTTAGTAAACTACGTGAGTGAGAAATAGCAGAGTAGCGAAGGAATTCAAATACATACATATTTAACATTCAGTATTCTTTTCATTTACATATACCTGTGCTTAGAATAATGCGATTTAGTAATATCCATGCGGTCCTCTGTTAAATGATTTCTTGGTAGAACTGATGATTCTTACTGTCCTTAAGGGCCTACTTGAAGACCTTGAACACATCAGTAGGAAAACAGATTCGGATTCAGATTGGTTGTTTGACGACAGGAAGCTGTGAGCCCATATTAATCCTTTTCCAGTAGATTCCTGTGCTTTTTGAATCCCCTTCTGAATAAGTCGACTGATGATGAGGGCACCACTTCTTCTTAGAGTCGGTTCCAGGCGTTGGGTACTCGACGCGAGAACCAGTACTCTGCAGAGACTTTGTTCGTTATTTGCCTTTGCAGTCTCCTACTGTGTCCCCTAAGGTGTTCTAACCTAGTGGGAAGGAAAAGAGAAGACAGATCAGGTCCAGAGTCATTTCTTAGAATCCTGTATAGCATGATTAGGTCTCCCTTCTGTCTGCAGTAGGACGAAGTCAAAAGGTTCAGCTCCTTAAGTCGGTCTTCATGGATGAGGCCAGCCATCGCAGGGCTCGAGTAAGAAAACAATTTTCAGTACATATTGTTAAAGAACGGTGCTCAAGAAAATACCTCTGTCTCTGAATGATTTCTTCTGCCTAAAGCAGAAGTAGGAACGATAGAGGTACTCATTCATTTGAGGACAAAACAGTTTGGGTGATAAAAGTCAACTCTTGCACGAAACTTGAATATCAGCCTTAAAAGAAGTGTGAAATTCATGCCCTTCAAAAGAATCCCTCCAGAAGGATCGAAAAGGAGAGGAATAATACAAAATCTTTGTTTGTTTTGTTATCGCATCTAATGTACTTCACCACATTATACGGTGAATAATACCGTCTCGGAGACAAGGTTTTTCCAACCCACCAGGTTCCCCAGTGGTCAGGATACGTTGAATATTAGGATCGGCTGTCTGTTGTGTTTGGTATTTGCCGAGGACTATCCATGAAGAACATGTAGCTTTGTAGTATTTACTTCATATTATTTTGTTGATACATTTAACTCCTCATGATTGAGCATTTGTTTAATTGCGTTCATTTCATATTTTTCCCTGCTCGTTTGCAAATATAATACCTCGCTTCACGCCTAAAGTTATCTCCTGTTATGTAGTCTGCCTGATGCGGGTGCATCAGCAGTGTTGGGGATAATATGAAAGACGATGGTGTATCGGGAAGCGTACATAACATTGGAGTCAGGTACCAGGGCGATCCTGATGTGGTCGAAAATTTCGGAAGTTACACTAGTAGATATTATCACTGATTTCATTCGCGTACTACAACTGCAGTTACTAACACCTGTACACTTTACGAACATATACACCAAAAATATTCCCAGCTACTTCGTGATGGGCAATCACGCTTTCGTTTATTTCATTTTCCCTACTTTTATTATCTTAGGTTCTCGATATTGTTGTATCTTGCCGTACCAGTATTGATGTCTTTAAGCTCACATGATCAAACCATTTCGATTGCAGGGTCCGTGGGTGCCATTATGTCTTGTTTCAAGTTTAATGACCTACAACTACGGTTTGTCGTCTAGAAAATTTCTTCATGGCTAACCATATAACATCACGAAACACAAAGCTCCGATTTACTGGGAGGAGTTGAAGAACAATTAAGGGAGACGCCACTGAAGACTGACCCGGACACATCTTATGATGTTTTGGGCAAGAAGTGACGAAAGCTACCTCTTTGTCTGATCAGAAGGCTGTCAGTCAACTAATTAGTAGCGCACGTCTTGGTGAAAGGACACTTTCACAGATTGAACGATATATGTTGTCTGTTGAAAGATAGGGACGTAGAAAACCGCCTGCTCCATCGGCTTTGTATTTGACTTATATTAACTGTTGGAGATGTAGATATTAACATTGATAGATAGGCTGGCATCGCTGATCGTATGTTCGAAAGAATTTTTAATTGGGTTGAAAGTGTTGCTGAACCAACGCAGAATGACCAAGTGGCCGCCCTAGAGAGGAAGACTGACATACAGGAAAGCTGACGGTTTACAATTGCACCAGTGGTAACCGACTTTCTGCAGAAGCAGATCCCCCACTCATGAAGAAACAAAAACGGAACTTCATATAAAAGCAGCAGTGTGCTGACACCACAAGAAGTTTGGCAATAAAGCATGTCGATGCCTATTACCGTGCGATTTGAAAACCTGTTTTTCAGGAAACGGAAAGCCCAGAAGTCAGTGACGGCTACCGTCGCCAGGATACAACAACGCGGTCATTTGTTTCGGGTGACGGACAAGAAGACCGAAGCGCAATTTCTGGTTGACAATGAAGCAGAGGTGGGCATGATTCGACCCACATCTTCCGGAAAGCGCCATCTACACCCAACCTTGGTGCTACAAGGGGCAAACGGATCTGCTGTCACCACGTACGGAACCCGTATTTTGATCCTAGACTTTGATTTCCATACACCATTCCAGTAGGAATTTTCATTGCTAACAAGTAGTTCCCTATCATCATCATGGATATCTTGCAACACTACGAATTATTGGTCAACTCTAGTCGCGACAAACTGGTTGACAGTAATGCTGAAATTTCTATCGCGAGTATCTTAATACAGACACAAACAATAAATCTGGTAGTATCTCCGGTAAATGGCACTTCCGGGCATCATATCCTCCAACTAGAATTTTCCGAGCTCACACAAACGGATTACATGAAGCGGTCACCGAAACGTACGGCGGCACACCATATTCTTACAATAGGTCCTACGGTCTTGTCTAAACCTTGACAATTAGACCCAAAAAAGCTGCAGACAACAAAGCGGGAATGTGGTAAACTCCTAAGGTTGGAAACTGTACTCCCTACTGCTGCAGTGAAGGTGGGGTTGGTTTGTCCGAGCAACTCTCTCTAGAGGTGACCTTCCGAGATGCCCATCAATATGTGTGAGTGCATATAACCTGACAATGTTTGATCACTTGTTGCTATACGTACACTGATGGTAAGTATGATATATATATATATATATATATATATATATATATATATATATATATATATACCTATGTGTACAAGTGAATGCACCTGTGCATATGCAAGTATATATATATATATATATATATATATATAAATGTACGTATCCCATCGGTACACATGCAGCATGTAAATTCATCCACCTCCCAATAGATCCGGCAGTGTTTTAGTATATGCAGAGACTACGGTAGAACGGCTTGGCAACAGATGTGTCCAATGATTAGGTGCATTGACTGGGGATCATTCTTCACCACCACAGACCTCAAATCAACCACTGATATGTTTTACTACAGCTCTAAAACCTATCTCGATACCAACGTTCCACTGAAAAGTTTCAAAAAAATGCCATTAAACAATGAGCCATATATACCTCCCAATGCTCGCAGAAAGTTATGCAAACTCTCAGCAAGATACTACAGACATCGCGACGTCGATGCACTTCGGTTGATTCTTGGTATTCTTAACTCTATCTCGCACAAATACTAGTTGCATTTGAAGAATGAAGAGAGTCGTGCAGTAGCTAGGTCATTTAGAGTATATGCTCTCTCAGCACTGCTTAGGAAGCGATCGAATTGCACAAGACATAACATTCCTCTTCTTATCCATGACACCAAGGCTTGCAATGATCTAGTGGATATGTGTGAAATATTCAGCGACTTATTTGCAGTTAGTTTTCTGGACCCTACAAATTTTTCGTGTGACACTAGTGCGGTCTGCACTTCTAAAAGCCATCTTCTCTCCAAATAACGACAATAGATAAGGTTGGACTCACATACTCTAGTATTCAGGAAGCCATTAGGACGCTGTAATGCTGCAGCAGCGCTGGCACAGACGGAATATCATCACATTTCTTTAAACTTGGCGGCCCTAATATCCCGTTATTATTACATGAAATAGTTTCTCGCTGTTTGGAATCTTTTACATACCCTGATATATGGAAAACATTTATTCTCCCTAGATATAAATCTGGTTCAAAAACACTGGTCAGTTTCTAGAATCATGGAGGAAGTTATTAAAGGAAGCATACTTCAGCACATGCTAAGTGGCAACATCATCACATCGAGTCAACATGGGTTCCTAAAGTCGAGGTCCTGTATAACTTGCCATCTTGACTTCTTTAACTTCATAACTACTACGCATGGCCGACACCAATTAGTTCTTGTACTCTATCTGGACATTTCAAAGGCATTTGACAGAGTCGGTCACTTGCTGTTGATAAGTAGGTTGATGACTATGGGAATTGACTATCCACTATTGGGATGGATTAGGTCTTTCCTCAGTAATCGCACTCAAGTCGTGAAGGTAGATTCACACACTTCAAAAGCTGGGCCAATCACCTCTGGTGTTGTTCAAGGCAGTGTCTTAGGCCTTCTTCTCTTTACTTTATACTTCAATGACATCTGCAGCTGCTTTACATACGGTAAACCATTCTTGCTTGCTGATGACCTAAAAGTTGCATGCACATTAGCCCGTGATAATTTATCCCACTTCCAAGCATTAATAAAAGGAAGCTCGATATGATATCCACATGGTCTACTGCTTGGAGACTTCAGTTCAATATAGGCAAATGTGGCTGGATATGTTTTGTGTTTCGTCGGTGGATATCCAACTACACCTTCTGTCTACGAAACTTCCTGTTCTTAAAAGTGTATGTGACCTTGGACTAAGATATTCAAGGGACCTTACATTTTCCGAACAGGCAGCATCACAGATTCGCAAATCTAGGATCCTGATGGTTTGCATAGTTCGTAACTTCCACTTCAAAGGAGTCAAGTTACCACTCTACAAAACTTGCATACGTCCACCATCAGAATACTGTCCATTTATACTGAGTGGTATCCGCATAATAGACAGACATAAAATAGAGGGTGTCCAAAGGTTTTTCACAGCTAGATTATTAAAACACGATTGCAAACAGGACCACAGCCCCAGATGCAGAACACTAAGTCTAGAAGCACTTTGGATGAGACGA